CTCCTCTCCCCCTTCGCCGCCGCGTCACCCTTCTTTCTATCGTTTCGCGCAAACGTTAGCCGCCTCTGTTAGTCACCGCCGCCTCTAACGAGGGAAGGACTCCGATTATTCCTTCGATTTTAATAGCTTCTTCGGTGAGAGATGATGGTGTACATGTCTCCAACGATACGAGTAAAATATCAGGTGCAATTACTCGATAGTTTCCGAGATACAAGTAATTAAAGTTACATGCCTTTCGGATGCATCATAATCGTAGACAGTGCTGATCGAAACATTCACGTGGACTTGATTGCTTCGTACTGCGGAGACGCAGTGATTCCTGTATTTTTTATTTATTTAGTCTTTTTTAGTATGAGTACGAAAACACGTGAAGCATAACAAAATGCCGACACCACGAATATCTCGTAAATGCTGGGTCGTGGCACTAAATTATACCGGTGCAGAGAAATAAGTTTAAAATGAGAAGAAAGTAAAATTAAGTGAACAATTAAAAACCAGGAACATGGAGTGGAGACCAGGATCGACTCCAGAATCTTCGAGTTACGAAGCGGTCGACAAGCTCACTTTAACTTAAATCGTTTGCATTTGAAAGACTCTTCAGTAACTATACCTAATATTTTACACGTATCATTAGTAACATGTATTCTATCGTCTCGCAAAAAAAGGTATCAAAATCGGAGTCGGACAATTGGGGTTCTTCCCTTGCAAGGTCTCGTCATCGCGAGATGCTGATTGCAACGGTTTTACGACTCGGTTTTCCATTACTTTTCGGATTCTTATCAAATATCGGGAAAACACGTAAGTACACGCTTGACCGCGTGAACGTTCCGTTGAATCGGTGCCGCTCGTTTTCTCCGTGCGCCGGTTGCACGCCGTAGATGCACGAGTTCACGCGTGCACCGGGAGGACCGTGATCTCGCTTCGAAATCGCTCGGTCGCGCGGAAAACCGTCGACACCCGAACGGATCACGGGGAGGAGGTCCGCTCGGAGCGTTGCGCGGGAAAAGAAAGACTCCATCGGACGTTCGGAGGATCGAGGCGGTTTCTCGATAGACCGACGATCCGCTATCCGCGTTCACCCGGTTCTACGAAGGAAAAAATTCACGATTCTAGCCGGGTTCTAGTTTCCGCGGTGACGCGGTGACGCGGCACGCATAGACATTCGCGCCTTTCCAAGGAGCCGCTCTCCTCCGCCGACCCTCCCCGTGGCTTCTCTTTGCTCGCTCTGGAGCATCGGTGGCTCACGAGCGTGCTCGACAACCGCACGCCGAGAACAGAGAACGGAGAGAAGGAGGAAGAAAGAAAGATCTCCGGGACCGTGGTCGTCGCGGCACGGTGGCGCCCGTAGGGCGCCGTCGCACACTCCCCGCTAGCTACGCTGACGGGCCAGGGATTTAGCCTCGGACCGATTCGATGCTTCTGCGGGCAGGGACGCCGAACGTTTCCCAAATGTCTCCGGGATTTAACCGGTTAACCTGGCAAGACCGGTAATCGCGTCGATTACGTTTAACGCTAGAACTACCGAGCACTGAAATTCACTTTTTGAAACTTCTCTGTGAAAACTTCAAGAGTGCAACTATTTAGACTTTAATTGATTGATCGTTCAATTCGCGTATTGCCAAAGCAATTTCTTTAACCCTTTGCACTCGGGAGGTGACTCTCACGTACTACCTGATTTCATACAGTAAAAGTTTAAAATTTGACACTTATTATACCTCGTATAATGCATCAATTTGAGAAATATTGAAATAAAGAAAGAATAAGAAATTTAGTTTCACAAAATATGGTCTTTATCTCATCGGAAAATGTTAAAACATTTCTAGTGAAAAACTTCCGAGTGCAAAGGGTTAATAACTCGCAAAGAAACATCTGCTATTTTTTTAATAATCCTGAAGAGAAGAAATCTGGAATGGGTCAATTCGCTTTGGCTCTAATTACCCTATAGAATACACGTATTTACTGGAGAACGAATTGTCTCATAACGGATAGCTGATAATTCTTCCGTATCACGAGTTTCATATTCGCGTGGATATTCGTGGTTAACACGTTGAACGCCCCACGATTTCATAGAGCAAAATACCCAAATCGAAAAAATATAATATTAATTCATTTGATTGAATTGTATTATTATTGCATATTCATCTAGCTGAATGTCACCAGAAATCTCTTCAAATAATCATAGTTTAACCGAGTGAACTATAGTAATCCGATTCGGTTGGGGATCACCGGTGACCCCCATGGCATTCAACGTGTTAACGAGTTACATGTACATACACCCTGTTCGCAGGTCGAGGAAGCGTTCGCGCGATGAAACAACAGGTGGTCCACCTGTTAAAAGCGGAAAAGAAAATAGCTGGCGCGTTGCGCAGGATCCCCGTCTATCCGTTCGAGAAAGGATCGCGGGCGCGTCCGTTCGACTATTAAACGGTAGCCGCCGTTCTACGAGCGGCGAACGTGAAATGTTAAAGCGCGTAACAAATCGCCGATCGAACTGCTCTACTACGTTGACTGGATTTTCCGCATAGTGTTCCCGCCCACCTCGCCGCACCACGCACAGCCCGCAGGTATCGGTGTACGGAAGGTTGCAGGGAGACCCGGGACCAAGGAACCGCGCCTCAAAGTAGCAGAGATATCACGAGTACCGCGATCCAGCGGTGGATCAGTACCGGGGAAGAGAAGAGAAAAGAATGGGACACGCTGGAAGCGTCGCACATGTTTACCAAACGGGAAACGGGAAAGGTCCGTGCAGCGACGCGATTCCCGGGGCCTGGAGGCATCGCGCGTTTACAAATTCGAGGGACGCGGTGAATCGTAAATCATCGTTGCGAATCCTACATTGCGGGACTTTCCGTTTCCGAGTAATTCCGACGCAGATAAGGTCTCGCTCGCGTTCGAAATCGCGGAGGGTATGCGTTCATCTCGATCCTGGTTCGATCGGGGTACCGTGAATCAGAGATACAGAGTTGATAGGTGCCGTGGCATGAGAGACGCGCTCTCGTCTCTCTCGCTGGCGAGCGTGCGGCTCGGTCGTCCTTGTTCAGGAGCCGAGCCGGCACGAAAGGTTCCCCCAGAAAACGGTGAATCCCCACCCGCGGCGAACCGGAGACGGACGAAGTCGAGCGGCCTGCGCTCTGCTGCCGACGCTGACTGCCCTACGTCACAGTGAAGTATGTGCTCTCGAGTGTAGAAAATGGCTGCGCTCTCCGCTACCCCGGGTCGGCGCGGATGTAAATACGGCCTGTGGATCGGCTTGGGAGTGTTTATCGCGAGATTCGTCGGTGGTGAGTAAATCCGTGGACTGGTTACGACGCGACCCGTACGGAGCTGGTTGTGCGTGGCCGTGTCCCGCGAGGGAAAACCACGAAACGCACGGACGTGTGTGGTGCCAGTGCACGAGAATCGATCGGATGCGGATTCTCGGCCCGATTCGCGAGCAACGATCGCTGTCCGCTGTGCCACACCGACTCCACTTCTGCCCGCCTTCTGCCGCACAGATGTCTGTTGGCCCCGGTGATCTCTTTCTCTCGCCTCGTCGTCGCTCTTCCTCCAAGGGGACAAGTGTCGTCGACGAAACACACATCATTCCTCGCCGTACCATTTACGAAAGATCGTCGTCGTCGTCTGACGCGACCTCGATCGCGCCTCTGACTTTTTGCCACGGACTAATACAGAATCTCTCGGAGGAGGAGGAGGACAACTCGGCGAGACTAACGTGATCCTTTAACGTGACACTTTCCGCAGATCGCTCGCTCGTTCGCTCGCTCGTTGGCTGCACGCCTCGTCGTCGCGTGTTCTCTCGCGGGTCCTGTGTATACACAGAGAGACGTTTCTGTTGCCGCACAGTCGGTACACTCTCGCGAATGGAATCCCTGTGCCAAAGGCACGCACGAGCCTTTTCTGGCTTTTTTTCCCCCCTTTTTTCCCCGTTTTCTGTTACCCTCGGGAACAGAGAAGGAAAAGAACGTGCGCGCCCAAGAGACGGAGGCAGAGAAACATTGAGAGCAATAGAAAGAGAAAGAGAAAGAGAGAGGGTGAGAAAGAGGGAGCACGACGAAAAGAGAAAGACGAAGAGGTTAGGCGCTAAGGTTAGGGACTGAAATACCAGTGGTGCTGAGAGTCTCGCTGCTTCTGATGCCACGAGAAGTCTCGGTCGTTGGTTCGTTCCTAGTCTTTCGACCTTTTTCCACTTTTCTTCCTTTTTCGTTTCCTCGTACCGAGAGCTGCTCGCAGCATCGTTCACGTATCACGATCCTAGCCATGTCCCTCCTATCTGCCACCGATCCGACATCCCCACAGATTAAATTTAGCCACGCTAAAAGTTGCTTTCCCAAAAACAACCGATCTCTCCTGATCGAATCCCTGCAATT